ATCAAGCGATGAAATCATACAGAAAGAAAGCCAAATAATAAGTAGGTAAGAGAACAAATATAATAATAGATACAGAAATATAGAAAGAGAGAGCCTATGACATACACACTAGAATCAAGATACCAAATAGGTAAATCATACATATTCATGATGCAACTACATTGAAAGGCTTAAAATTTCATAGCAGAAATATTTTAGAATCAGCAAAAGGGACAGCAAACTATAGATAATCACTTTGACTTTCTCAAATAACTGGAATAAGTGAAAATTGAAAAATCCACAAAGTAAAAGAAGAGCTGAGAGAATATAATTAAGATATTATAATGTAACATTTAAATGCTCATATTAAAGAATAAAAGTTTGCCTACCTGCATATACATTAAAGGTTAAAGAATATAAGGTAAATACAGGTTATGAAATTCATTTCATCAGCTCTGCTGGAATACAGGTTCAGATAAGCACAGTTCTCGTAAGCAATCAATTAGACATAAGAGAGCTATGATACTAAAGAAGAAGGATATGATACACCTAGAATACGCGATACTCAAGTAACTACTGATAATTACCAGCGACGTCACCCGATCGTCAGAGCCAAGATAAGCATGTGTAATCATGTGAATACAGTTCAAGCGCCAGAAGAATTCAAGAAATTATCTTATATAGACAAAATAATGAATATACACTACTGGTCAATAACAATTGTACTAACAATTGACTCGCGAAATCTAGAATTTCACACTTACTACAGCAGATCGGAACTAACAGTAGGAGCACCTCTCTCTAGATCAAAATCGACAGACTCTATCTACCATATCAAAAAGCACAGAATACTCTAGAGAGATGTACAGAACTTAGTATTACATAAAGGGCACACTAAATGACAAAGTAACGTTATGCTCTGCTGTTGTGGAACGCTGTCCATGATGCTAGCATGCCTCTCAAAGAGACCTCACTCAACTACAACAAGTCAAACAAGAAGTATAGATACCACTTACAACAGCAGCAACAAACTCCAGCCTTCACCTAAGAGAAACAGAACTCATTATGCAAGCCTGCAGTTAAAGTTGTGAGTGGAGAAAGACTTACTTAGTCAGATAAACTAAAGAGAGATCAAAGGAGCGGAAAACATAAGTGATTACTTGAAATATCCCGTCGAGTAAAAAAAAAAATATAATAAATAAAAGGCTATGTCACGAATCCTACCTCCCATGAATCCACATATCCACAAATAATAGCGAGCTTCGACGATTCTCTAGAGAGCGAGCGGAGTGAAGGGAGACCGAACGTACGAACAATCATACTCTTAAAAGATATCAGCAGTTGGCATAAAAGATAAATATGGCGCATGAGATAGAAACAAACCTCTAACGATGAAGCCAATCAAAGGTTCATATCTGAACCTGTTGCTAGATGGGCCAGATAATCTACCCCTGTATACTTTACATATAAATATCAATATTAAAGACCTGAGAAGATATCAGGGTACAGTATGTTTGATCTATGCTCATATGTGTGTGATCAAGAAAAAATCACATCATTGTCATACCGTCCAGCTGAAAAAGCTCCAATTCAATGAAGAGCAAGGCACATCATATATATAACAAGCACATAAAGAAAAACTTATGAGAGCATCCTTAGGAATCGACACAGATCAGCGGATACCTAACTGTAGTTGTTTGTAGCCGCTCTCGTATATAAAGGCTTGGTATATTACAATAATTGGCTGCATTCGCTAACTCCCTTAGTAAAGAATCAAGAAATAGTCTCCCATATACAGTATTTATTCCGCTAGATGGCTAAGCGGAAAATTACTCCGCTGTTACCAGCGTATGGAACTATAAGAGATAGAACCATTACGATCTATCTGAAGAGCGACAATACATGGAGAAGCCCTTGTACGCAGCATCCTTTATCGTGTCTTCGACTCGTTCTATGTTAGCAGCAACAGTACAAGACGAAATTGAAATGAAAGATCCTCCAGTTAAATATAGATATAATGCAAAGAGGATATTACAATGACATGATAGGGATACCAAACACTCGGCAGCCATCCAAAGCAGCCTTTTCTCTAAGTAAGATGAGCTGGCCTTCAAAACAGCTAAAAAGGATAAGAGAAACTTTTCTGAAAGCTTAAAGTTCTAGTAGCTTTCGGCCTATAGATCTCTCTCATGATATTACTGATACTATAGAACCATGATATCTTAAAGAGATCTATGACATGAGAATAGAAGAAAAGATTTCTGTTGCTAAAAAAAAAGCTATCTAGAGATAAATTGTACAGAATAAAAAAGATCACCATAAATAAAATATAAGAACGAATGGAAGAATAACAATTAAACTAGTAACCATGCAAAACGCTTTAAATAGCGACCCTTATATAGTCCTGGATGGCACCCAAGGCCAGTTGTTCCACTGATAGAAAAACTGATTATCTTTAAAAGCAAAAGATAGACAGTAATGATCTTGGCTATGAAAAAAAGCTGTCTGAAAAATAATTAAAAGAATTATGAAAAGCGATGGCAACTTGCTCATTGATCTGACCACATTTAAGCAGATGTATAATATATCCATATCTGTATTAATGATAAACTTACAATTCACCTTCAATAAAGTAGATTTTATAGATACTACATCACTACTGGTCGATGCAAGAATACAAACCAACTAGAGCAATATTATGTAACTTATTTAAAGCGGATTATATCAGGAAAGAAAAAGAATGGCTAAAAGACCACTGGTGTTTTAAACATCTTCTTGGAATATAAGCATCCATTAATAAAAAACGCATATGTCCCACAGTACGTAGGATTATGTTATCGTCTACAGCTTGATTAGAAGAGAGCTTAGTGGGATACTATAACTAAATAATATTGTAATTACACTATACTTATTAAATATAACCTCTCATAATATGACTAACATTATATAATAGATAATATCTAAAAAAACAATATAGTGAATGATGAGATTGTAGATATGATGTGTGTAGTGTGTGTGGTGTCTGTGTGTGCGATGTATGTAGAGTGGTGTGGTGCAATGTTGTGTGTGCGTGTGTGTGTGCTGTAGTGCGTAGTGTGATGCAACACTGTGTTGCTGTGAATACATCGCTACTATGGCTATTATAGTCGATATTTAGATGTATAAGAACTGTACGTGTACTGACGTCTACTATATTATCGAATCATTATAGTATTAAATCTGTGATATGCGCTATGCGTATCGGCAGATTCAGTGAAACTTATTAAAATTCCCGCATCCGGTAGTTATGTGCAACAACTGAAAATACTATTGGACAGAAACAGAAATCGACGCTCTGCAATCAGATGACTGCGCCTTTTTGTAGTGCTGTGCGGTTGTATTTGCACCGGTATCTCAGGTAACGCCAGTTCAACTTGATAACAAACCGAATAAGATCTTACTCCATACGGTGTTTCCAATAATGTTACCTGCATACGAGAGCAACATGTATCGCGAAAGCTTGACTACAACGAAAGGCCTGTTGTTCCCGTATTAGATTATTTAACTTGATTGCTATTCCTCGTAATTGTCTGGCATGTTTTATCACATGACAACTTTTTCATCTTGTTAAACATTCTTGTAAAAACTAAGTTTACTTTGCTTCAAGCGCAAACTGTTGGATCACATCAGCCCGAAACATTCCTCATACAGTGGGACGTACTGCTTGAAAGGTTAAATTTGTGTGGAACTCATACTGAAAAGAATTCCCAGGCTTAAATAGGCCTAGTATTGGATGATCCGACTTCTTGTTTAACTTCCATTATCCAACTAATTTCAGATAGACATCTATAATTAAGTAAAACCGCTCATGAGCTAGAGCTATCTCTCCCGCCATTTTCCAGTGACTCACAAATATCCTGATCCTACGTCATATTGTCCAAGCCCATTTCGTCCTTACCTACCCTGTAACCAATTTACACAAATAACACTGTGTTTTATATGGGATTGCTAATTAAAGTTATGTACTTTAATAAATAATTTATTTCCAATACAATGCTTGGCACGCATACATTCTTCAGTGCCTATCGCATATTCATGCACCCAGCTGTCACTGCGGGTATAATGACAGAAAAACTTAACATATTGTTTTTTTAACAGTATGTATCTTGACCATTGCTCCTCAGCTTTCAGATGGACTCTCTCTCTAACTTTCAATACTGTCAACTTTCCGCAACCAGGCCAGTCGCAGGAGCTTATTTATCGTCAAACCCAAAAAGTCGCTCTCACCTGATATAATTTGTAAATCCTGCCCCAAGACATAAACGCATTCTCTCCGGAGTATGCCATCAGTCTTGACTTTCCAGTGCGGACAGTACTGTGAAAACTATATTTCCCAACTCTTGTTTGTTCCTCTAACTATCCCAGTCCTACTATAGAATTATGATCGCTGAGTGTGGCTATACCATATCACTCCTAGATCCACGAGTCACACTCTGCACTACTCTGCCGACTCTCTATGATCAGAGATAGCTCTCATCTCATGAACTCGACCGTATTTCTTTCGCGTACTCTATGCCGACATATAACTCTGCAATGAACATACAGACGAAGGAGCAACGTACTGCCAATCTCGCATCTCGTGCGGCACGCTCCGCCGCGTGACGCATACTCGACTCGCTCTCTATCGTATCCATTCACCCACTGCTCTCGAATACTCTGCTGCTCTGGATACACGCGAACCGCAGCAACGACACCAGTACTGGTGCGCGACGTAACTCGTGAGCTCGGCTCACTATCAGTCTCTGTCTTATCTATATGCTCGTCAGGACCTCGATTTACTCTACAGAGATGAATTTATTGTTTCAGAAACGTTTAAATCACTCAAATGCCCTAAATCTTATATGTGAATCACATATAAATCCTTTACATTAGCCAGGAATCTATGTTATTCTTTGTAAGATTTGAATTTCCTTGATCCATACACCATATTTTTTCCTCTCGATTTTTTGTCATATTCTAACATATAATATTATTTCTAAAAGTGTTCCGATAAACACACCTGCCCAGTATTGTTACATTATATAAATAACATTAAAACTAAAAGGCTTACTGCCTATCATACATAGCAGTATATATTGGCAGAGCTGATAAATTAAAAGAAGCTTGCAACGTAGTGGGCGACACTATCAACGAAACTTCTCTTCTCCCTCAGTTCGTTAATCTGTGCTCGTGACTTGCTCTGAGCGTGTGTTGTGGTCTTTGTTGGTTTCAGTCCATACTTTTCGGCAACCTTTTCAATTTGTTTGTCAATGGCTTCTGTGGCAGTAGCTTCTGTTGATTCTGAGGCAGGTGAAGTTTCCTCAGTCTGTGGCAATGAAGAGTTCCTGGTCATCTTCTTCCAATATTCATCGTCGTCGGTGTTACTGGCCTCAACAATTGGTTCAGAAATAATTTCCTCTTCTGTTCCATTTTCTTGAGTTTGTTGCTTGGACAAATCATTGATGTCAAGGGAAGTTTCTTGTTCAGCAACAGAAGCTTCAGGGATAAGTTCAGTTACAGCTTCATTGGCTTCAACTTTAGCCTGAGATGCTTCAGTAACAGCTTCATTGGCTTCAACTTCAGCCTGTTCTTGAGCCTGAGATGCTTCAGTGGCTCATTGGCTTCACTTCATCTTGAGCCTGAGCTTCAGTTATTGCTTCATTGGCTTCAAGCCTGTTCTTGAGCCTGAGATGCTTCAGTTATAGCTTCATTGGCTTCAACTTCAGCCTGTTCTTGAGCCTGAGATGCTTCCGTTATGCTTCATTGGCTTCAACTTCAGCCTGTTCTTGAGCCAGAGATGCTTCAGTTATGCTTCATTGGCTTCAACTTCAGCCTGTTCTTGAGCCTGAGATGCTTCAGCGACAGCTTCATTGGGCTTCAACTTCAGCCTGCTTTTCTTGGAATGCCCAGAAAGTGAACTGCTTCAGTACAGGCTTCACCTTGGTTTCAACCTTTCAGTCCGTGGTGTCTGAAGGCTGACACGACTGCTGCCACGTTCGCCAGTCGCTGACGCTTAACCTCACAAGCGATTCCTCGCGTGCTCACTCTCCGTCCCACTGTTTCAAAGCCTTCCAGGCCCCTTAATCGTTCTTTGACATCACAACCACACGCTGAAGCATATGCCTTTCGACCCCAATCAGTGATACTAACGTTCATCTTTCGGCCTTCAATCCTTCCGCCTCGATTACTATCATTGAAGCCTGAGTCTATCACGAGACTGATTGTTTCAGATTATAGCTCATTGCACTCTTATCAACTTTCAGTCTGTTCATAGGGCCTTGATGATATGCTTCACTATAAATCAGCTTCATGCGTGCCATTACGGCTTCGTCAAACTTAGACCTGTTCTTGGCCGTGAGACTGCTTCGAGTTTACGCTTTCCCATATTGTCGGCCCTCAACTTTCCACCCGATGTGTTCCGGTATCAACTTACCTTCCTTCGTTCGGCGGTCACCAGATCACTCGCAGGAATAAGCTGATCTTAATTAATCTTGTAGCAACGTTTCAACTGTCTCTTCAACTTCAGCCTTCTTCTTGGAGCCTGAGATGCTTCAGTAACAAGCTTCGTTTGGCTGGCTTAAACTTCAGCCTTGAGAGCTTCGAGTTTACAGGCTGCTCATTCGGTCCTTCAACCTTCCAGTCCTGTTCTTCGAGAGGCCTGAGAATGTCTTCAGTCAACCCGCCTTCTTGGCTTCAACTTCAGCCTATTGTTTCTTTGAGACGACCATGAGATGCTCTCCAGTGACAGGGCTTCATTACGGCATCTCAACCTTCTTAGCCTGTTACTTGAGGCCTCTGAGAAGCTTCCAAGTAACAGCTTCATTGGCTTCAAACTTCTAGCCGTTCTTGAGCCTGAGTATGCTTCAGTTATGGCTTCATTGGCTTCAACCTTCAGCCTGTTCTTTGAGCCCTGAGATGCTTCAGTTATGGCTTCATTGGCTTCAACTTCAGCCTGTTCTTGAGCCTGGGATGCTTCAGTGACAGCTTCATTGGCTTCAACTTCAGCCTTCTTGAGCCAGAGATGCTTCAGTGACAGCTTCATTGGCTTCAACTTCAGCCTGTTGAGCCTGAGATGCTTCAGTTATAGCTTCATTGGCTTCAACTTCAGCCTGAGATGCTTCAGTAACAGCTTCATTGGCTTCAACTTCAGCCTGTTCTTTGAGCCTGAGATGCTTCAGTAACAGCTTCGTTGGCTTCAACTTCAGCCTGAGATGCTTCATTGGCTTCAACTTCAGCCTGTTCTTGAGCCTGAGATGCTTCATGCTTCATTGGCTTCATTGGCTTCAACTTCACTTCAGCCTGTTCTTTGAGCCTGAGATGCTTCAGTTTAGGCTTCATTGGCTTTCAACTTCAGCCTGTTCTTGAGCCCAACAGATGCCTTCAGGCTTCACGCTTCATTGGTTCAGGACATTGCTTCAACTTCAGCCAGTTCTTGAGCCTGAGATGCTTCAGTGACAGCTTCATTGGCCTGAACACCAACGTGCTCTTGATCTTGGGATGCTT